TTGCACCCAAATCACACAAGGCTTTACCAAAATAAGTGTTGCCAATCGAGCATGGAATTGTGAAACTCCCTGGGTCCGTCAATTTAGGTGGTAAGGTGCTTTGAGAAATCAGCCCGCACTCTTTTGTAAGTGCCATTTTCTTGAACTCACCCAAACGCCTCCTTTTGGAAAGAATTTCTTTCATAAATTTTACATAATTTGGCATTTGCTCAAGAGCTTCAACTAATGGGATATTGATATGAAGTTGTTTCAGCACGTCAAGAAACTTCCCAAACTGTTGGTCCTGTTGTTTCTTCTGAAATCTTTGAGGAAAGGGCGGTGGTGGTCTGTTCTGGCACGTTCCTGTGACTTCTTGCTGCTGTTGCGTTGCTACAGCAACACTAGTTTCTACCTCATCTTGACTTTGTACAGGGTTCATGTGGCCATCCTGCCTTTCTTCCTTTTGGATCGAAGAGGGCTCTCCATCCAGCTCGTTTTTCCCTTGTGGCTGCTCCAGTGCTTTCCCACTTCTCAATAAAATTGCATTACAGTGATCTTTGCCATCCCGCCTAGGATTTTCTGTATTGCTTGGGAGAGTTCCCTGTGGACGATTAGTCAAAGCATTTGCAAGTTGCCCAATTTGAGTTTCCAAGCTTCTCAAGGTTGAATCATAGCTCTGCATCTTAGCCTCGTTCTTCGTTATATATTCCTTAAAGAAATTCTCCATGGAATTTGAACTTTCACCGGCTTGAATCCGCATTGGCTGAGCTGGTTGTGCTAAACCCGGCTACTGAGCTGGTCTATTATACTGAGGAGCACCACTAGGACCTGCTCCTTGATTACTCCAAGAGAAATTGGGATGTTGTTTCCATCCTTGGTTGTGTTGATGGTTGTAAGCATTGTTGCGGCTGTAGTTACTCACATAACAAACTGAAGCGGGATTCAACGGACATTCCTCAAATAGGTGTCCCTCCCCACAATATACACAAGAGATTGTAAGGGCCTGGACAGAATTCACTCTAGTTGAAGTGTTCATAGTTTTTATCATGTTAGTCAAATTTGACACTTGAGCCAAAAGAGCAGTGATTGCATCCACTTTAAGAACTCCCGGTGTTTTCCTTGTGGGTGGTCTCTCGGTTGGCCATTGATAATGATTCGTGGCCATCCTCTCCAGAATCTCATTGGCCTCATTGTAAGATTTGGCCAAAAGAGCACCATTAGCTGCGGCATCAACCATTACTCTGGTTGGCTCATTGAGACCATTGTAAAAAGTCTCCATTTGAATCCAATGGGGAATACCATGTAATGGACACTTTCTGAGCAGTTCCTTAAACCTCTCCCATGCCGCATAGACTAACTCTCCATCGCCTTGATGAAAAGAGGTAATGTCATTTCTCAGCTTGGCGTTCTTTGTCGGAGGGAAATACTTCATAAGAAACTTTTCAGCCATATCACTCCACGTTGCAATGGAATCAGCAGGTAAGCTATTAAACCAAGCTCTAGCACGATCCCTCAAAGAGAAAGGGAAAAGTGTTAACCTTAACGTTTCTAGACGAACTCCCGGTAGCTTGAATATGTCGCTAACTTCCATGAATAACCTCAAATGTTGATGAGGATCGTCTGTCGCCATAACGCTGAATTGTCCCACGGTTTGTAGCATTTGAAACATGACCGGTTTAAGTTCAAAGTGTGGGGCCTGGATGTTTGGCCGAACAATCACAGGATTTAGTCCATTAAGAACTGGGACTGTAAAATCTCTGATTGCTCGATCACGGTCATCAACCACAAACGGTCTTGGGGTTGGTTCAAGAGCATTAAGCTGCTGCCCCTGATTCAGTAAGATCCCCTGAGCGTCTTCCTCGGCCATTTCTTGTACGTGAGCAAATCCTCACTGCTCCCTTCTTCTCCTTCTCAAAGTCCTTTCAATTTCTGGGTCAAGAAGGAATAACTCAGGTTCTTGCATACAAGATGTTCCAAAGACCTGCTAAAAATCAGAAACTCTGATGAAAATGAACAAAAATACTTGAATAGTAAATTACTTTAACAATAAGATTCAAATAAGACAGAATCCCCAGCAACGGCGCCAAAAACTTGTTGCCTATGATTGTGGATCTAGAATCTCGCAAGTGCACGAGTCAACAAGTAGTAAAATGATTAATAACCAAGTATCGTCCCACAGGGATTGTAGGTTTTGAAATCAAATTGTTAAGTTAATTCTATCCAAGTTTTTAAACAAAGACTAAAAGTGATTTTTAAGGTGCTAAAACTAATGATAATCTGACTGTAAATAAATGAACAACAAAAACAAAACTAATTAATAACAAGTATTAGAATTGGCCAATATCACTGTTCGCGGCTTAAAATTATTAAACTGTCTTTTATCACGCTGCGCGTTGCTGCAACAATGGACAGCAATGAAAACTTCTAGTTAACCAGATTCAACTAAACCAGGGACTTTCCAATCCGCCGTCTACTAATCTTAAAGCTAAATCTCACAAATCCCTCTGCAAATCTAGACTCTAAAATCAGAGAATGAAGCTCTAAATCGTATGGTTATGCAAGACATAATATATTCCTATATCATGTGAATCAAAAATCTGTAACAAGATCGAAGAACTTGCATTACTCAAGTTATTTCCACTCAACTAAACCTTCCCAGATCCAATCAAGCTATACTCCCCTCTTATGATTTTCCAATCACAATTAAGGTACAAATTCAGCTCACTTGAATAAACAGAGAAATAATCATCAAATCCATTCAACATCAACTTAGCAACTTAATATTTAACAAATCAACAACCTCAGCCAACAAATCATAATCTCATAGAAATATATTTATGAATTCAAGTTCAGATTCAAGAAGAAGAGTAAATATTCTTTAACAAAGTAAAACAAAGTAATGAGAATAAGAAAGACTAAAATGATGATGAGAGAATCCAAATCCCCCTTTTCCAAGGTTTCTTCTAGCTGCTCTTGCATCAACAGATGGTCCTTCATGTTTAAATTTCTGTGACGTTTTCTTCTTCTTCTTTCCAGTACTGGAGCTGGTACTTGATCAGAGAAATGGAGGTGGTTTCCTTTTCCAAGTTCAGCCGCCTCTGCATTACAAAATATGACCAAGGACATCTTCTTCTCTTTCAGCTGCAGGTACTTATTGTACCCTAATTCCACGTGGCAGCCCCTGAGAAAGCCTCCAATGAGCAGCTAAATCAGCACCCTTCACGGTTAAATCAGCCCATTCTACCAGCTCAGGCCCAACTGTCAGCAACATGTTAATCTGGTCTAGCTGGCTTCGCAGAGCAATGCAGACTAGAATTTCCTTGAAAATTTCAAAACGACAAGTGGTTGCTAGCCTCCAAGACGACAATGCTTTCTCAAAGCTGAAAATAATCACAACATGCACCCGGATTAGCTCTTTTTAAGCGCCAAACACAAGAGAGAGAATTCATGAAACATAACTAACTAAAAACTAGAAACAAGACAAAATAAAGGATAAAACTAAAACTAATTACCCTCTAGGTAATAATTTAAGCCTGGGAAATGCTCAATTAACTCTATTTTCATAGAGTTATCATTTACCGAATTTCTCAAATTCCTTACATTTGTATCAGAGGATGACCACAATCCTCACTTGATTTCAACAGCAACACAACTCAGTTGCTCCGTAGCAATATCCAGCTACTGTGCACCGCTCCT